GCAAATTATCTTAAGTCATCAATTGGCCCCAAAACCCCAAAACCCCTTGAAATATTATAATGATTATAACGAGGAATTTGTTAAATTATAAATTTAACTATATAAATAATGATGAATATGAATCAAGTTGAACCTAGAACAAGAGAAGAAAGAGTAATTTACGATAAAATAATTAATCAAAATTCATAATCTCTGCTATAATCTCAATTTTCTAATTAAGACAATAGGCCGCATTGAAAGACAGGGAAAGGATTGAATAGTTGAGGCTAAGAGAAAGAATCGGTTCCTACCATAAATATGTTGATAATGCTCTAGTCAACAATCCTGACCCAACTTCATCTCATTTCTTGCCAGGTTACATAATTTGAGTTTAATAATTTTTAGATAATGATAGATTCAACAAAGATTTCGCTTCTCATGATAAGATGGTCAGAGAGTAGCAGCATAAATAAAAGATGGAAGTTATTGAGAAAAAAAGGTAACTGCTCTCAATTACTTAATAAATTTCTTAGAGTTGAAAAGTATGAAAGAGATTTAAAAAGATGGGAGTTTATGGATGAAGAAAGTGAGAGGTAATCCAAAAGAATTGAATAAATGAACGATAAGTATTTGACAGGTTAAAGAAATAAGGGAGGAGCTGCTTATAATATTCTAAATTTACAATATGAGCATACTGATGAAGGATAATTTCTTAAATAAAGAGATGATGATGCAAAGGTGAGAGCTATGATGAGAAGTAAAAATTTAGATGTAAGATCTAACTGCGGTTTTAATCCATTAAATGGGAGCCAAAGAATGAGTGTTAATGTTCCTTAACACTAACTATACAATCCAAATGAGCTACAATCTGTTGGTGCATCTATAATGGGGACAGGTTTTGCTGGGAAGCCTTTGAGAAAAGAAATGTTTGAGCCTGTTAGATCTTAAACTTAGCCTGCAGCTATGATGAGAGATCCTAACTATTATGATGCAGGTGCATATGGAGGGCAAATGCAGCAATAAAACTAGCAGTATCCTCCATAAGGTTAATACCAATAAAATCAAGGAATGCAATAAGCACCCAGTTAATAGTAATTCTAACAATATCAACCTTAGCAAAATTACTAATAATAGCAGATGCCACCTTCGTAATATCAGCCTCAGTAGTAAGTTTAGTAATAGCAGCCTCCTTAATTCGGTGGATTCCCAACTAGCAATCCTAATAATTTCTCTGCCTCTCCTTCTTCAGGTCAATTAGGCTAACAAGCTAATCAAATGAATAATGCTGCTTCTTTACTGCCAATTAACTAGCAGTAGTAATCTCTATATGGAGGGTAAGGTCATTACCTATATAATTAACCTAATATTCAAAGAGACTCAGTTATTGCTCCGGCTTACACATAACAATAACAAGCAAATTATAATTAACAATTCGTTGCAGGAGGAGCAGGTACTAAGTTCTACTGATATCATTGCGGCTAGATTATATATGTTTACTTTCCAATTAAATTTATTATCAAGTAACTCTACAAAATTTGGCTTGATAATTTATTACTCTGAGAATATTTAATTCAATTAATTAAAAGATATATTTTATTTTCACCAATCTTCAAATCCTTTTAAAATTTCCATATTTTCTTCTAACTATTTTTTGGCTTTGATTCTTCTATAAAAAATTGGACAATCTCTGCTCGTACATAAGATGTCTTCATGTAAATTTCCTTAGCATCTTTAGCATTAAACCCATAAATCAGCGTATGCTTTCTCATTAATGCATTATTCTACTTTTCTTTCAATGTAAATTGATCTCCTCTTTGGCTCACAATTATTGCACAATACACTCTATTCTACTTATTATTTACTTAAAATTGTTTTGCATCCTAGGCACTATTTCTAAACAATTGCATATTTCCCTAAACCAGTTGAAGATTATATTTTTGGGACATAAATATTTCTAGTATGCTCTCCAGAGAAAAGCTAAATCTCAGCATTTGGAAATATTGGCTCAAACAATCTCAACAAAGGCTACTTAATTTAATGCTCTAAATAGTATTGATAATCTATTGGCAAGTTATTTTGAAGAGCGAATAATGGATCCTCTGATTTCTCATATGACTTACTATCTTTTGCACCTTTAATCATTACATAAGCAACTCTATCGCCTTGAGAGGGGGCAGTTGCTTCATCTCTTCTTCTCATTCTTTCGGCTAATTCTGTATGAGCTTATTTTTGTTGATAACCTTTGGTAGCGCCTTTTAAATCTTTCAATGTTGGAGGACCAGTTGATTCTTTTTCCTCTGATTTAGATTTTTTACCAAGACCTTTAGTTATAACAAGAAGCGATAAATCAATTCTATTTTAAAGAAGATCGCTGATAATACCTTTACAATAATCAAGAGCCTTATTTGGATCTCTATCTATTAGTAGCATGTTTAAGCTTGTTTAAACTGTTTCCTAAACAAGACCACAATTATCCCTTCTCACTGTTTCAATACCCTTAGCATCTATACAGTCAAATTTATTTGGTTTAGTCCATAATAAGCCAGCATATCTCTTTTTCAAATTCTAGTCTAATGGGCTTGGTAAAGAATAAAGTAACATAATGAGCAGCTTCTTGTCCCAATTAAAGCGCTTCTGCTACTGTTTTAACTCCAAATTTAACCATTATAGAATCTGTATCACCATAAATAACCTCACTGTCATATTTATAGCCATTTTGAACATTAAATTTACTTTAGACAAAATTCTTAGATAATTCAATCATTTCTCTTCCGTAGGCTGTTACACTAGAGGAAATTGCTAAGCATGGAAGCTAGCCAATTTAAGCTCCTGTATATCCATAGACACTATTTGCTGCTACTTTTAATGCCATCTATCTTCCATCTAGAACTGCCCTCTAGAATGAATCTTTTTCTTCGGCGAGTTCTTTTCTAGCTTTTTTTCTTGCTATAATTAGTTCATCTAGAATTAATGGTAAGATTCCTCTTTTTACCTCAGCTTTTATAAAATGATCCCCATTAGGAGTTTTAATATAATCTTCTGTCTTGTAAAATTTTATTGCTTTTGGTGGTATCAGAGTAGAATAGCATATATTATGAGCAAGCATAATAGAAGGATACAAGGATGCAAAATCAAGAATAGAAATAGGCACTTGGAAAAAGTCCCTATTAGGCTCTATCACAAGGGCACCCTCGAATTTCCCTTCATTTGAAATTCCTCTCTCAGTTGGTATAAGCATATTATTTTGATTTGCCTTTCTGTATAATTGAGATGTAACTTTTATTTACTAGCCTCTTGTAAATAGAAAACTTATTGGAACTCCAGTTACTCTCGCCATTTCAGTATAATTATAGAGGCACATCAATTTTTCCATTAGCCTCATAGGCAAATAAGCATCTTTTAAACAATAAATAGCTAACCTTCTTCGTGTAAACTCATTTTTGTTTTGAAGTTCATAAATAATACTGTGATGAACATCTTCCTTTTACTCACCTAAGAATTCAGCTGATACAGAGTTCAGAGAGTATGACCTTAATTTGTATTCTCTTAAGAAGAATTGAAGCATATCAAATTATACTCTACCTTCAATGTTTATTTCTTTAGTATCTCTTGTGCCTAAGGCTTTTGATGAGAATGTGCCGCATTTTATTCTTGCTACTTAGTCATGTAATTTGCTGAATGTAGGATAGTTCTTAATACCTAAAGCAACAGCTCTATTTACAATATAGGGGAAGTCGAAATTCATTATGTTAAAGCCAGTAATTATATCTGGATCAACTTCTTTGATGAAATTCCTCCAATTTATTAATAGTTCTTGCTCAGATTAATAGGAATATACTTGAGTTCCAATAATTGATGCACATTTTAAGAGTGTAAATACATTTCTTACAAATGGTTCTTAATCTCCGTGAGTTTTAACTATGTTTGCTATTTATATGACTGGATCTAAATTTGGCTATGGAAATCTTCCTTTATCTGCTGAGCATTCTATATCAAAACTCAATATTCTCAATGGAGCGATTCTTGAGTACTCGCCTTCAAAGGGTAAAGTTATTAGATTTTGAGGATCTTCGACATCGATTTCAAGTTGGCAGGATGATGTCTTCATTCCTATTCTCCTTCTATACTTTCCTGGTTCAATCCTAATCCACTGCATTCCCACTATGCCATAATCAATCATAAACCTTAATGAATAAGGTAAATTTGACTCATAAGTGACATGAGAGAAGCAGTTAACCCCTTTTACAGAAAAACTCTAATTTTCAAATAAACTTCTTAGTTGAATAACATATTTCTGAAGCGTAGTGTAGATCTTAAGAAATAGCCCTTAGCTTTCTTAATAGCCTAGGACTGATTATTTTTGAACTAACTCAACTTGTCGAACACATTCTTCGCCCTTGTTCCAATTGTTTAAGTCTACTTTTATCTTATTGAGATCTTCAAGAGTAATGGTGTACTTCTTAGGGTCAACTTCAACGTAGAAATATGGAACAAAGTTGTGAATATGTACCATTACTGAATTTCCGTTGGCAGTAATACCATACATTCTAACTATGGGAGTATCTTTGTCATTAATTCTAGAAGCAAGAAAATCTGAAAAATTAATTCAATGAATAATTACCTGGAGCTGGAGCACAGTATGAGTCAACATCAATTTACATAAACTCGACTTTATCTTTGGCTTAGTCATACTTTGGCAATTGCTTTCTTTGAATATTGTTTTAGTTTGATAGATCTATTGTTTTCAAGAAAGCAGGAGCCTCCTCACACTTCTTATCGTTTGAAGCGAATTTATTGGTCTCGACCATTTTTAAGAAACTTATGTAAAGTTTTCAGTGAAGATTGCTTTTAAACTCATTAATTCAGTTATTTGATTATTCAAATAAATCTATCAATATTTGTTTAGAACATTGATTCTAGGGGTTTTGGGGTTTTGGGGTTTTGGGG